GAAACATAGAAGCACTGCATCGCTGTCAACCACAATAGTGCACGTGCTTTCCATCTCTTATAGTTTGAACCATCAAAGGCATGTGGTTTCAGTGTAGCAGCAAAGCCAACTACCGAAAATGACCTATCAGGTTTTTGGATTGTTAGAAATTTGGTCATAATTCGGCATATTTTAATCCAAAATAACAAGATAATAAACATGATATTTACAATAGGATTTGATCCAGTGATAGTGGTGAATGTAATCAACATGAGCATGCTTAACATTGAATAAGCATCAACAATCACATAATGACACAATGTTGACATTGCGATGAACATTAACAGTAAAACTTCTAATTGAAATAATGTAATAAGGTTATACCCCAAGAATGGTCTTCCGCTGGAGTTTGAGGCAGTATTGCCTCCGTTGGTGTTGACGGGAGTCTCCTTCTCCTTGTCTCCAGTGTTCGACATGTTGGTGAAGATGAAGTAGATGTTGACGAACAGTGAGTAGTCGCGCCTTGCGCTCCCCAAAAACCTGATCGCCCGCCCGTCTGTGCAAACGTCGCAGCAACGCGTGGTTTCGGAGGCCTACTCTCCCAACGCGTGTGCACACACTCGTCGGGATGGGATTACCGTAGCAGCAACAGCTTTTGAAAATGGATGAAAGTGTGTCTTCTTCTTCTCGCGGGAGATCAAATCCATTCTCATTTTATAAGAGGAATGGAAGATGAAGAGTAAGAGTCATGGAATAGGAAGAGGAATGGAGCAACTAATTGTCATCAACTAGCCATGAACCATCCTCCACTACACAACCATCAACCAACAATCAATTAAGAGTAATTGATGTAAGTTACCAATTCCTTAATCAAATGGATTAATTCTCAAAACTCTTCATCCCATTGATATCCCATAGAAGAATGAATTCACATGAATTCCTAGCATAATGAGCCTTGGAATTTATTTGATTTAAATGGATTAATTACCCAATTAAATCTAACATGTTGGTCTATTCGACCACTGTCTTTCTTTCTTTTTAGTTTTCCTTTGGCTGCCCAGCTAGCTATATTTGTAGGTGGAAGATTGCATTATACGAGTTAAAACTTCACGTCATATAGTTTCAGCAGTTCCTAGTTGCATAATGCCTCAGTTTCAGGTTATAACATGTTTTAACTTTAGTCAAAATCAAACTGTTTTAAATTTGACTAAGTTTATAGACAAATATAATAATATTTATATTACCAAATTAGTTTTATTAAATTAATAATTAAATATATTTTTATAATAAATTTATCTTGGGTCGAAAATATTATTATTTTTTTTATAAACTTAGTTTTGACCAACAATCAGTCTATTGGTAATGTTAGTACAATAATTATAATATTTTCTGCGGCCCTATAATTTGCTATTATCATTTGAATAAAATTACATTACTCGGATTTAAACTTATCTTTTTTAAAAGAAATATATATGCTTGTATGTAGATTATACTTCAAATTTGCAATGATATAGCAGGTGGGGTCTGTTAAAAGCATAATTTTTCTTTTGCTATTAGAATATTACCTCGAATGAATAGGGTGAGAGGAGAAACAACAGTTATTGAGTCTAAAACCACAATTATTAGAAAAAAAAGTGTAACTTTTATTAGTTGCACTTCCCAAGAAGACACTGATTAAATCCAATCACCAGAATGATTTCTATAATTAACTCAACCATATCTATTCTCCTTCTCCCTCATTGTCATGCTAATTAACTGAATTGGTTAACATTTTCTGTTTGTCTTTTTAAGAAAAAGAGAACGAGTCCTCCCCCATTTCCATTAAAGAAATGAGCACTGAGTTTCTACAAGGTTTCCAGAAAGATAAGAGCTAAAACAGAGAGAATTCAGGAGTACGCATGCTCAAAGAACTACTAACATGCATCCTCTTCCAGTTGCAAACTGGGACAAGAAGACGCCATCCCATCCTTTCTTCGCACCATCTGCACCTGCTTCCAGACGATCGACCACAAAGCTCGAAAAGGACAACAAATAAACGAACCATCGTTAACATTCTCAAAAATCACCATCGCAGGGGTAAGCGATGCATGTTAATAGACAGCACTCTGCCAACTATATATTTGACAGGTGTTGGAACCCTGCAATTTTCACCACAGAACTAAAGGATCAACCCGGGAGAGGATGCCAGTGCACAGGCACAAGAATAGTCTCGATGTCTTCCATGCCCAAGTTCATGGATACAGATGTGACTGTGCCATGCAATTTCGCTTAAGCTAGCTTTACTACTAGCTACCTGCTGAGTATTATTGCTAGCTTTCTATCTCACATATATTTGACCATCCAATTTATAGATCAGGAAGATCGAGATCCCCCAATGGTTTCGCTGGCCCTTCTGTATGTCACCCGGTGACCTCCTAGCCAAGGTAATAAATAGTGTTCATAATGCCCATAATAGCGGCCGCTATAGCGGTAGTGGACCTCTACCGCTACCGCTACAAGGTAGCGGACTGAAGATAGCATGTTGTAACTTAGCATCCGCTATAACGTTTCGCTACCACTATAGTAGCCTGTTATATAACGCTTCGCGACCGCTATAACAGCCCACTATTGACTTTGTTGGACCGTTATAATGCTTAAATGCTATTCTTCATATATGAATTGTAGAACTTTACATTGTTTATCTTATTTATCTTATCCATCTATATGTTATTTCATATTTTTTATGTTATGAAATATAGGAATGTATTATTAATTCTAATTTTTACGTGAAATTGATGTTAATATTGATATATTTATGGTTATTTTCTTATATTTGCTATTGGAACTTAGCGTCCGCAATAGCGCCCGCTATCCGTAATTCGCTACACAGACACTAATTCGCTAACAACCCGCTATACGCTATTTATTAGCTTGCTCCTAGCGTAGGTTAATACGCCCTCCACCGGACCACTTTCTGTCTAGAGGTTACAACCAATCTAACCAAGACATACGTATTTAATTGGAGCCTACGAAATACAACCAAGAGCATTAAGACTTTTATAGTTATATCTTCACCACTAATCATTTATCTAAGAATTGCAAGAAATAAAGTGTCAGTGGGACTAAGGGAGTACTATAGCTAGTATATAAAATATTACCACTACTATAAAACATTACGTAAGGACTGATCTTATATGTGCTGATTTACGTAAAAATGATATCTATGAGGCATTTATTGTGTAAACGAGTCTTTTAACAAGATAGAAATAAAGAACCGGCACCTATAACCACTCATTGGTGCTGGTTTATAATAAAAAGGGTTAAGTCCGATTTAGCCCCCTCAACTATCACAAAAGTTCAATTTAGCTCTCCCAACTCTAATACTAGATGTTTTACACCTATTAACTTTTTAAACCAGACCCAATACCCTGACCGAACCAATAGTAGTTTAGTCCTATGTATTATGTAACATATGGATGTTCATATGGGACGCACTGTCAGCCCCCTATTCATTGTCTTCTTCCCCCTAATTAACACCCCCCACACACACACACACGCGAGCCGCAGATCTCCCAAACATCCGCTTCTCAAAATGTTTCCTACTCGGCGAGCTGCACTTGATTATGTGATGCATGCATCGTTTGGTTCATCCAGGTTGCACTGATCTTCAATTTGTAATAAAAATCATAGATCGAACAGACCAACAAATTAAATAACGAGGAAACAATTTCAAATGGGCAATTAAGTGACAAGAAACTAAAGAATTAAAGATTTTGTTGTATCTAGGAACCAACAAATATGTAGATTATCATATACCCGCATGGATGGTTCATCCGATTGAAGATAGGAGGTTGGGCCAATTCTGCATATTATGTAAATAGACTATACTTTAGAATATTTCACAAGTCTTAGTTGTGTACGATTATGTCAATAAATGAGGAAACCAAGTCGTGTCTGAGAGGGTCCTCTCCCTGGTAACCCTGCCCCCTAACCTATATAAGGTGGGCATGGTCAGATCGTCGATCAATACAACACCCCCGGTAGATTAAATCCTCAAAACATAACTAAGGTATTACTTTTCATCGAGAAGATCTAAATCTGTATAAACCTTTCCCCCCTTACTCATCCACTTTAGATCTCCTATGTCATCCACTTTAGATCTCCTATGCAACCCTGTTTTTTCATTGCCGATTTTTAGAATCAACCCTTAGCGCACTTAGTGCATTACTCAGATACGAGGCAAAACCTACTCTTTTTTTTTTTTTTGCGTCGAGTTTTCAACTGACAAGTGCTACTGGATCAACTTTGGGAGCCAGCGACTTTGCTTTTCCTCCGAGCCAGCATACGCGGATCTACAGGTGGTCCCGTCAGGGAAGGACCCCACGTCCTCGGTTCCATTCGGACTCCCGTACACCGCCCAAACCTACTCAATGATATTCTCTGAGTGTGCTACATGTATGAGTTTTATTGATTAATTGAGTTTTTCAGATGAGAGTTTTTTTTTTGGGGGGGTTTGAGACTAGTTCCAGCTGGCATGTATGGAGAAACATGTACATCTGCATTGAAATTTTGTAACATACTCAAAAATCTTGAATTTTTGGAGAAAATTTTTCGCGACAAGATTTCCTTTTGGTTCTTATTGCATTTTTCTAAATTGGAGCATTTCCTATTTTTATCCTTTTTAAATTTATATTTCTAATTAATTAGGTTGTGTTTTTATTTCAAAAACATTCAAATCCGTTTGGTAATCTAAAAGTTTATTTTAAAATTTCTTTGTCAAGTTCAAAAAGTCCTCAAATTTATCTCCTCAAGTTTCATCTCCTTTAAATCCTATTTCAAATCTATTTATAAATTGCAAAAGGCTCCTATTTAGTTTGGGCCGAAGTCCCTTCATTCGGCCCAATTGGCAAAAGTCTATATGGCCTCCCTCCTCCTTCCTGTGAGCCGCCGCCGCCACCACTGCAACCAGCCGCCGCCGCCGCTAGCCAATCCGCCGCCGCCACCTCACCCAACCAATCCGCCGCAGCCACCTCACCGCGTCAATCCGCCGCCGCCACGCGTCACCGAAAGCCGTCGCCGACCAACGAAACCGCCATCGTCGGCCAATCCGACGAGGCCACCCGGCGCCGCTTCTCTGCATTTAAATCGAAGCACGCTGTGCCGTCGCCGGTTTCTCTTCTATCCACCGCCTCTCGCCGCCTATAAAAGGACGACGAGGTTCCCTCTTCCTCCCCACACAAACCGAGCTCCTCAAGCTCTCTCTCTTTCTCTCCCATGTCCGGCCATTAGTGCCACCGGCAGATCTCCCTCACCGGAGTTTCGCAAGCCAAGCCCTTGCGCCACCAACTCCGCCTCGCCGAGGTGATTCCATTTTTCCCATTTCCCCTTTTCCTCCACCTTGAGATAAGCCGCCGCCACCACCACCTTCTCTTATCGCCGGAGCTGAGCTCTTGTCGCCGCTGTTCCGGCCACCCCTCTCTCTCCCTCCGCCTTCCACCACCCTCCCCGGGTGCGCGTTGCTCGGGAACACCATCTCCAACCGGCGTTCTCACCTCCAGGCCACCGGAGAGCCGGCGCCTTGCTTGCCCTCCTCTCTGTTACCTCTCAGCTGCCAAACAGAAGAAAAAAAAAAGAACGAGAGGAAGAACAGGAAGGAGAAGGCATTGACAAGTAGGCCCCACTGAATAATAACTCCCTTTTTCTTTTATTTGTTTTTTAATCTTTAAGAGCTCATATCTCTTCAACCACAAATCCAATTCCAAGAATTCTTTGATCTAAATTCATCCAATTTCAAATCCTTTATTTTGATACCAAATTTCCTATTTTTAAAATTTTATTTAAAATTCTTTATTTAAAAACCTTTTCCTTATTTATTTATTTATTTACTTTCTAATTCTAAATTTATTTTAATTAACCTTTAAAAAAATATATATATTAAATTTATTTGATTTATTTTATATCCCTTTAATTTTAAATTTCTTGTTTGAAAAACCTTTTTAAAATTTAATTTTCCTTTAATTTCTTTAAATGCCATTTCCTTTCAAAATTCAAATATCTTTTGACCTTTTGTATTTGCCTCTCTTCATACTCCAATTTTGTTATTTTCTTTTACCATTTATTTGTAGTACTTTTTTTTTCTTATAGGTTTTATTTGCTATCTTTTACGTATACGTACGTTAGACAATACAGAAGATCTCATCGACATCACAGGAGCTGGCGTGGATCCAGCCGACTACGCTGAAGCCTTCGAAAGTTTCAAGGCACAAGGCAAGACAATTAAAATTTTGAGCACATTAAATAATCAACCCCCATATTTACTTTATGCATAAGTTAATCATATGAATAACACTATGGTGGTTTCAAATGATATATAATGCTTTTAAACATTGTTATATGAGATTATGGAAAGATACACTGAACATCATTTTATGTGGTTTACTATTCAAACATCTTTTACAAACTTAGAATTCGGTTAAAATGGGCATTTGTGAATGTTGATATATGATGAAGTTTGTTGGTGTGGGGAGTTTGGAAAGTTTTGGGTGGTTTAACCGGATTATAATTACCCCCTTATACCATAGAAATGACATAGTTGCGTCCATCCACACGATCAAGTAATTGGACTTAGCCTAGTACATTGTCCCACTATATGAAAGACTGTTGGTTGGCTCACTAGAAGCAGGATTGGGGTAAACGCATGTGTAAGGAGGTTGGGGGCATGGTTAACAACGGTGGAACCCGTGAAAGCAGCAACCAAGTAGCCTTGCTTAGGCCCAGCAAGTGCCCGACTGCTAGGACGGATCAATATCCCACTCGTGCAGTAACTAGTAGTAAGTGGGACCTTCGAACGGCTCTGGTGTCCTCAGCCTTGCAAACTGTTGACATCGTGTGGGTAAAGCTGGACAGTCTCTGCAGAGGTGAATTAAATCATTTGAATGTCCGTACTCCCGATTCTGGAGTTGTGTCATAAGGGTGATTCCTACTCCTGACATATAAGTAGTTTTAAACATAAAATAGTGGTAAAGATAATGAGAATTTGCTGTTATATTTATTTTCTCTTTATTTTAATATCTTATGCTTAGAAGGATCATATTTAAATTTCCATGATTATGTTCATAACATATTATAAGTGTCTTGCAGAGTACATAAGTACTCATTCTTGAATTATTTAACATATAGAAGAACCGTGTTATGAAGAAGTCCCAGAAGGTAGCGAGGCCTACTACAACGACGAGTTTTTCTAGGCTTAATCTATACTCAAGCTTATGCCTGTGAAGTTTAGTAGCTTTGGGTTTTTCTTTGTACTTTCAAATAAGGTTGTAATAGTTTGTATCTTTAAAACCATTAACAGTTGTATAATTAGTTTGCATGAACAAATTTGTATAATTAATCGAAAGCTGTTCTGTATATCAATCTGTGCGTGATCGAAATCCTGGACGATCACGAGTGGACTTTCGGGGCACCAAGCCTAAATTGGGTGTCCCCACAAATTTCTATGGTAAAAAAGTAAACAATGTGGACAAAATTACCAGTTCTACAAAATTAAAATTAAGGAGGACAAAATGGACAGCGTCCCGTCAAATTAAAATCAGTACACAATGAACAAAATTAGATAAATTATACTAAAACTAGTCTCTACTATTATAAAAAGTTGAAGATATTTTTACCGGTTCTTTAGTACGTCATCTATGTATAAGTCGGTTTTTAAATTTGTACTGTTTTGAAAATACATATCCGTATTTGAGTGGAATTTTAAGTTTGTTCGCTTTTGGAAATAAAAAAGAGTCGTATAAGAAATCTTTTTTAAAAAAACTCGCATGCTAACTTGACATGATTTTCTAGAAAAATATATATCCAAGTGAATTCTCACACTGAATTTCACATTGAACAATAATAAGATTAAAAATAGCCTTCGCCCGTTGCAACGCACATGTATTTTTTCTAGTATTAAAAAAATTGAAAGTGCATTCCAACTTCTGGCAAACAAAGCAAACAATGGGAATATCATTACTGTTATGCAAAACTAAGAACATTTTTCTGTATGATTAAAATTGTTACTAGAAATAAACTGAAATCACCATCCTCCCAAATGAAACTGGTATTCAAAAATAAATGAAAAAAGAACGTTCTGCTAAATTAAAATTAGTATTAGAAAAAAATCAGATAGAGATTTTCTTTCAGCAGGAATATCCATACGGGACTTGTTATAATAAAACAAGCAGGGTGATTAGCGATTTCCAGGAACAATGCGGCTGCTTATTCCTTGAAATCGCGATCCAATAAAGTGCGGCGCGGTAGCTACACGCTGGGAGAAGGCGGGAGCCATGCGCTGGGATTGGGATTTGGGAGACGGGCGTGAACAATGTGGGACGATCGAGCAAAAGTGTTAGATAGCAACAGAGAACTCCCACGTTATAGTTTCACCGTAGTCAGCTGAGACGCCGGAGAAAATAGTCCTGATACCTTCCATTTCTAAGTAGATCGATGCATGGATCCAAATGTGCATGCGCCAGTGTGCTATAATTAAGTTTGACGGACTTAACCATGGAGTACATATATAGGTTTACTTAAAACCCGTGGGATCGGTTGAAGATTAGGGGCGCCACGTCAGCAAATTTACAAAAAAAACCCTGTATTTTTGGTAATTACATACTGGTTTCCACCAACATCGTCCGTTCGATCTCGCGGTAGAGCCGATCTAACCGTCCACATGTCCACTATGGCGGCCCTTTCTCAGCCGTGGGATCGTTGAATCGGCAATCAACGGCATAGATTTCGTCCGGCCGGACCAAACCCTAGCCCCCTCGCCCGTCTCGCCCGCAGCCTGGTGCACGCGCGGCGTCGCCTCTCCCTTCTACGCCGCCACGCCGTCGCCTCTCGCCGCCGCCTCGCCCTTCTTCCTCTGCGCGCGCCGTCGCCGCTGCATCCTCGCCCTCCTCCAGCCATCCTCGCCCTAGCCGCACTACTAGGCTCGCGCGCGCATGACCTCACCTGCCGCCGCCGCCGCTCGCCCGCCGCCGCTTGCCCGCCGCCGCTCGCCTGCCGCTCGCCTGCCGCCGCCGCCGCCGCCGCCGCGGCTGCTCGCCTGCCGCCGTGCCGCTCCCCTCGCTCGGCACACCAGGCCACCTTCTCCCCTCTTCTCTCCTCTCATCTCCAGGCCACCCACCGCCTCCCTCTTCCTCTCCCTATCCTCGGTGAGCTACAGATCCGGTTCGGGGGTCATCGGAATCGATGGTCTCGGCCATTGGTCTCCTCGCCGGTGAATCGTTTTGATACCCTTCTGCATACATTTAGCACAAAATCCACATGGTAAGGCAATGGTTTTGACTTGCCATTAAGCATTTGCATTGCGTTTGCTGGTGTTTTTACATGATCCCCCATCTTGCCTTAGGTTCTGTGGAGAAATTGATGGGCTAGGATGAGGTGTAAGTCGCAGATTACAGAGAGGACGACTTTCATTCTGCGCATCTACCGTCATACTGAACAAGTTATCGAGCTTTCTCCTCTCTTAATCAGGGCTGCGATATTTAGATTATGGTGAGTTTTTCTTGAGTTCAGATTATTTCATATGAATTTAGCTGTCAGAAGTTCGATGGTTATTGGTTTTGTTGCTGCATTGTATGGCACCCCTTGATAGAATAACATCAGGAAGAAAAAAGAAAACCATGATAGGTACTACAAGGCTATAAGTATAAGGTAATATGAGAGCATTCTGCAAACAGGATATGCAATGGAAGGATATTCTTTTTATTAACTTTGCTAAAATACCTGCCAATAGCCCATTATTGACATCAAAACCCCCTAGCTCTAATACTGGGAGCATAACACGCTGATAGACAGTGTGCAAAGCTTTTACTGGTGTCTAATTTGTTGCAACAAAATTATTACTACTTCACCGGATTTATGTGGTTTGTTGTGTTGGTCCAGTTCAGCAAAGAAAGTTGGTAGGATCATGGAGGAAATGAATCGTATGGTTATTTTTTCATTGCTTGGTGGTGTTTCACACAACTCAATCTGCTGCCATATATCCATAAAACAAAACATTCAGAAATGTAGTTATTTAGTACTATCCTAAAACTTACATTCTGCCAAAAAAAATAACTTTTAGCGTGCCTGTTATTTTTATAATTTAATGTGTAAATGATGAAGAGTGCAAGCATCTAATTTTCTCCTCTGCCTTGACACAAGAGTTTAGGCCACTAGAATGTCCTAGCAGCACTGAAAATACTCTATGCATATAAGCATATAAATTTTCCATGTTGCAGGTCTCCAGTTATGCCAGTTTGCTTCTGGTTATGTCCACAACATATTCAATGTTGCAAAATAAATATAATGTAGCCATGCTTCAGGTTACAGCTTCCAATCCACATCTTTTAATATTATGTAGTGTGGCATATGCTTATGAAAGTAATCCATAATACTACTATCTTCTGTTAGGCTTTCACATTTAACTATTTTATTTTGTCGACATCGTTTAACTTGGTGTTTTTTCCCCTTTTCCTAAGTGGTTGGTTGATACTATTACAATAGTATAGATACACATAATGGAGCCATGTTTCAGGTTAGAACTTCCAATCTGCATCTTTTATTGTTATGTTCACCTTCAAATTTTCATGATGTTCAAATGTGCTTAGAAAATCAAGAACCAAAGATGGAAGACATTATTAAGCTAGAAACAAATTACAGCCTTGCAGAGTTAAAAGACTTGAAAGTGGTTGACCATGTCTCAAGACCCAACACTTTCATCTTAGAAATGTTAATTGAAAGCTTTCTCAATGACATTATTTTCCATATATCAATTACTCCAACTAATCTGGTACTAGCTACTGTATATGCATAGTGAATAGTTAGTATTGCTTAAACAATGTCTGGGACCGTTATATTCGTTGTAAGCATATATTTCAATTGTTTTCCTATGATGGTCAGTCAAAACCAGATAATCAAAAAAGAGATAAAAAACTACTCTCTATTGGTTATTTGATTTTCAGGCTTTCAAGAGATTAGACTACTAGGCCTGCATAATTTGAAATGCTATTTAATAAACTATATATGTATTTAAATGTTCAGAAATTTAGTTCCAGTTTAAAATTTCAGGTGTATGCAATGTTGAAAACCACCAAATCTGGGCATTTCCTTCCAAACAACTTCTTTGAGATGAAATAGATTCTGGGCAGTTGTTTCTTCCACCGTCCTTCATTATCTTTGTACTCTCGCATCTAAATTATCCTATGTCAAATGTGCATATGATTTAGTTCACAGCTAAATGCATCTAAAGGGCCAACACCAGATCTTCTGCAGGTAACTGTGGCCTAACATCTAAAGCCATTAGTAGTACCCATGTTCTTTTTTAGTTCATAAGTCCTGGTACTGATGTGGTGATGCTAAGAAAGGTTTATGTGTGATACAATTAATAAGATGTTAACCACAAAAAGAATACAAAAGCTGTGCACTGTGCATTAATTGATACTCCGTAATTTGTTGTTTGCAGACGCAGCAAAAATATATTAGAGTACAAAGGGTAATTTGTCTTTGCCAAAAGAATGGAGTTGATTTTCCTATCTTCTTAATAGGAAAGAATTCAAGTACATAGTCTCTTCTAGGTAATTTCTTCCAGAGTTTCAGTGCTGTCTGGGATTACAAGCAGTCAATGCCTCTTCTTAAGTAATTTCCTTCAGTGTCGTCTGGGATTACAAGCAGTAGATGCCCGATGCCACAAGTGTTAGCTTATATGTGAGAAACCTACAAATACTTAAAATTAGATGCTACTGCCGAACCTACAAATCTGTTCTCAATTCTGATGGGTTTGATGCTTGCCTAAAAGTGCAGAAAAAACAAGGTTGGTATGCCGCATGTCTTCACTTTCTACCACAGAGTTATTGCGCGTTTGTAAACATGGTGAAAGAGATGTATCTCTGAAGCATAATCAATTCATTAGCAATTTCAATGTTAGGTTGTTTTTCTTTAGCCAGCAGCGCAAGAGAAAATAGCATAACAATTTCAATGTTACGCATTTGTGTATTCGACAGAAGGTCCAGTTATGTGCTCCATTGGAGATATTCTTATTCTCTTCTCAAATTGTCGATTGGAGTATTTGGTCGTTCATGTGTATGGCTTAAAATATTCAACAATATTGTATCGAAGTGGTTATCTTCTCATGTTAGACATAAGAATTCCTTCTAGCATGTAACTGTTATTTAAAATTATCGATAGCTTTGAATTTTTGTCTATAAATGTTGCATCTTGCAGCCTCATTTGGTACAGTTACACGCTGCGTAGCGCATGCCTCTTGCTAGTTGTATACAAAGTTGCTGTTGGACTCCCGGCTTTCACCAAATCATCGACCTTTCAGTATCCAATTTATAGGTGAAGAGAGGCTTTATGCATGGTTCAGAATTGGAACAGAGAGCAGCAGCTTTGTAATTGTGAGGCACATGAATTTGTTTGTCCTGTGTGTGTATATATATATATACTAGGTGATATCCCGCGCGTTGCTGCGGATATTGTTGAGAAATTTTAAGCAGGCAACAGTACCATAGGCATTTGAGCAGAAAGGATAAGATTGATTTCTAGTTAAAAAGAGCACATCCCAATTTGCATAGCTGACCAAGAATGTGCAGTGCCCATTCAGCTAACCTTTTCTTTTGATTTTTGTTTTTGTTTGAGGGTCATTCAGCTAGCCTTTTATTTTTCTTTTTTTTTTTTGTTTGAGGGTCATTCAGCTAACCTTTGCTCGAGCAAGATGGAACAACCCGACTGCTTGTATAGCGGCGTTGGAGGGGGTTCCGCATGTGACGCCTGTTAATTAGGGGATTGTTTTTTTTTTTTGACAGGAATTAGGGGATTGTTAGTTGAGAAGGTCGAAGGGCACCGCTTCCTGGCTTTCATGAGATGAGGAGATTTTTAACAGGCCAGAGCAAGCAGTTGTAAGTGTGAGGACAGATACCATTGATCTAGAGACATGCTCAAGAATCCAACAGCTGACAATAAACGATGATGTGGCGCAATGTGGTGCAAGGTTTATAGCAATAATTATTGCAGTGGATACCAACTATAAAAAAGAAGGGATATATATCATGTGACCAGGTGACCTTCTAGCTATAGCAAACAGGGGTTACTGATATAGTGTTATCTTAAGCATATTAGGCCATTCCCAACACAACACACTGACATAGTTTCCATAAACTCCACATCATCATAAAACTACTACTAGATACTACTCTTCCAATGCAAACACCACTATTTATACTTAAATTTAGTGCTACTTATCTCACATGATGTCTTGGATGCTTTGTAGAAACTGTCTCATGCAAGACATTTTTATTCTCTTTCCTCATTTATTCACTTGCCACATTATTTTTCATCCTAGGTGGCAGCCTATTTAATACTATGGACACAATCCTAGTCATTGTGTTGGGAATGGCCTTATAAGAGCAGGTACAATAAGCTGACTAGGCGGGCTCCAAAAATATGCCACATCATCATATTCCTATGTGGAGGGAAGAGAACCGATGAGAGAGAAGCGAGCGAGCGACAAATCTATCGCCTGACGATAGCTCTCTTTCCCACGCACTATCGCTTGCTTGCAGCCCAACTCAGCAATAAAAAACGCGATTTGTGGACCCCACTCACTGCAGCCGATCCATTCCCCCACCATAGCCAATCGAGATCCCCATCCCCTCCACCCCAGCGCCCGCCCGATCTCCGCCCTTCCCGCGCGATCCCGCGCGATGGCGCTCGATCTCCCGCGCCGCGTGCGCCATCTCGATCCCCTCCCATGCAAGCCATCTCTTCCCCTTTCGCGCGCGAAGATCTCTTCCCCTCTCGATACAAATCCACCCAAAAAATCTCCATCTACTATTTTGCCAGCCCCAAAAATCCGGTAAGATTGACGGTCTCCGCCCCCACTATCCGCCTTCCCTCTTCCCCCTCGCTAATCTCTCATGCCCGCATGCGACAGATTTGTACCGAAAACCCTAGTTCCCCTCCACCAACAGCCATCTCTCGCCGGAGGAAGAGGGAGGTTGCGCCACCTCCACCAACACCCTTGTACATGCTATCTTTTTATAGAATTCCCAGGGGGGGTGTTAAAGAGAAAATATATTTTGTAAGGAGATATTTATGGCAAGAAGATCAAGGGATCATAAAATATCACCATGTACAATGGCCAATAGTGTGCTCTCCAAAAGAGCAAACAGTGAACCATATTAATATTAATGTGTATGATTTTTTATATAAAAGATGAAGCATGAAATTTATGTGCTAATTATACACTAAAATGATCTTGTGACAAGTTATTGATGCAAGTTTATTTGTTGCATGGTTAGTTACTGGTTTTTAAGTATCCAACTCTAGGGGATTTGGACCCATGTGCCCACATGCTATAAGTTTCAGTAGCTTGTTTTAGTTACAATTGCAGCAGTGGTGGATCCAACATAAAAAAATTAGTTATGATGAAACTATAATCTTCTTGATTTCTATATAGGGGAGTGGAATCTCGTCCTCCTGGTGGGTTCGTTAATCTTATCAATGCCCCATCAAACCATATGCATCATGTCGCCGAAGGGAGTCCATCACAGCCTATCAATGTTGAGAATGGAGATGTTGCTAGGACAGAGAAACGCTTGTCATGGACAAACGATGAAGACTTGAGATTGGAGTGGCCTAAGTGAGTTATTTATTTGTCAATGTGATGTACATCACTTGCATTACTAACACCGGTAAACATCTTTTTCCTAAAAATTGCAAATCAGCGCCTAGCTAAACAACTCAAATAATCCTACAGAATCAATTTTCAAGAAGAATGATAAATATTGGGGCGATGTTGCTGCAGCTTACAACAGCACTACCCCAAAAAGCCGAGTTAGGCAAGTTAAGCAAGTTAAGGATCATTTTGGTAAAATTAAGAAGAAGGTAGGGAATTTTTGTTGCTCTTGGAAGGAGGTTAATTCATTATATGCCACGTACCTAGAATGCCAGACCAAAATACACTCAAAAACCACTAACTCCAAAAATTATTAGAAATTTCAGCAGAGTCTCCCCTAAAAATACGGACATCCACGACAGGCAGTTATAAGATAACTCAACAACAATATAATCCACACAATACAAACCATCCTAGCTCCACAAATTCCACGTGAAAGTAAGGACCAGAACTTTAAATGACCGTTACAAGTTCTACGCAAAACTTATGCTAAGCAAAAACGTAATCTAAAACTGAATTTCAATAGTGTGCAATAATAGTGTAGTTCAAGGGTGTTACTCCCATCCCATGCCGATCAATATCATTAGATATCTAAAAACCAAATTAAACACAAGAATGAGTAAATAATACTCAGCAAGTACAATATTGAACTAGTAAAACATACACATGTTTAATGCAATAAGAAACCAATATGAAACTTTTGTTTTCCTTTAATTTAAAACGAAGGAGACAAAAAGTAGTAGTTCCCTCCCAGGCAGGTGTGAATATCCTCTTAGCATTACCGGTAAGCCGAGCAAGCGTGATCAACGCTTCTCAAGGATCATGAATAAAGATCCAAATTGCACTCCCATGACTACGCATGGTACTTGAATAATGTAAACCAAAACTTCCGGAAGAATGAAACATGAATAACGTCGTGAATTTGAACATGAAGTGAAATATGAATATGTAGCATAATACCAAACCACACAATTGATAATAGGAATCTTTGAATAATAATTGGGTAAATGAAACCAAACTAAGTAAAGTGATGGGAAGAAACCTGCCTACTGTATTCCTCAATGCAGTTGAGGAGGCTCGAGGGATGGAGGTTGAGCTTCAAATTACTACTGCACAGAAGAATCATTCTGGAAATGTTACTAGTAATGAACAGAAGAGAGCCCATCAGGAAGGGGGTGAGAACTCACAGCGACCACCTTTCAAGAAGTACAAACAAAATCAGACCACTTAGCCATCATCCAAACCTACGCAGTGGGGTTCTCAGCCTAATTTAGCTCCACGTCCTGCAGAGCCTCAGTTGATTCACCCTGTACTAGGGCAAGGGCTAATTTGCTTTAAGTGTGGAAAGAATCACCATTCTGCAGATAGTGTGTTTACTAGGGCATGTCGTGGGTGTGGAAAGGCTGGACACATGGGGTTGGTATGCAAGCGTAAACCAAATTCTATCATCAAGTGGCAAAGGTCTAGCCCCTATTCAGCAACCTTTTCGAGAACTAGCTACCCTCGCGGTTCAGGTTCTTCCACTAGTACTCCCCGTGGTGCTGTTCAGATGATGACAGCTTATCCACTTCCTTACCAGCGGTTCACACATAATTACCCACCACCACCATTACCAAGACAGTATTGGTCCATACCTCAATCTCTTGCTCCACATGCTCCACTCTAGTTGCCTGCACCGCCTATGGCGCATCCTTCTGCTTCAGCTCCACCTCACCAGCAGGCCTCAGGCTCTACTACCTCAGCTATGGCTGGAGTCTACAACATGCCTGCAGGGTCATCCCTTGGTCGCCCGGATGTCATTACAGGTACACTTTGAGTTGATTCGCATGATGCTCTAATTCTGTTTGATTCTGGTGCTACATTTTCCTTTGTTTCAATCGAGTTTGTGAAAAGAGCTGATCTATTTAGTCAAGAGGTCTCTCGATCTGTCCAAGTCAGCTCTCTAGGGGGTATAATCTCTAGTTCAGTAGTATGTCCAGGTTGTACAATCTCTATTGATGGGGAAGAATTCGTGGCAAATCTAATTGTGATTCCCTTACTACTCTTTGATGTGATCTTGGGCATGGATTGGTTGAACCAATATCGTGCTTTAATTTCTTGTTTCTAGAAGACAATTACCTTGGAAGCTCCATCAGGCGAGGAGATGGTTTTCCAAGGGAGCGCGCCTCCGCATTCTCTTTTCGTGATGGCAAGGTTATTTCCTGGGCAGCGTGCTGTAAAGATAGTGTTATTATGAGCCTTAGCCGAGAAGGCATCCAAGCCTTTATTGATTGAAGATGTTCCTGTAGTGCGAGATTATCCTTATGTTTTTCCCGCAGAATTGCTAGGGATGCCACCTGAGTGTGATGTAGAGTTCCGTATTGATCTTGTTCCTAGTACACGACCTATCTCCAGAGCCCCGTACCGGTTAGCTCGTCCTTTCCAAGAAGAGTTGAAGAAACAGTTAGATGATCTATTATCCAAGAAATTAATCCGATG